TGAATACTGAACCACTGCAACTCAGGAATAAATCCCACTTGATTCTTTTAATGTATTGTTTGATTTGATTTGCTAGTATCTTAGTGAGAATTTTTTGCATCCATGTGGGTTACATTTTCAGTGATTATTTGTTTAACTAAGAAATATCACATGCTTAAACACTTCAACTGTACAAAAGATTGTATAATACTAAAAGAAATTATTCTTATTCTGCCTCCGTCATACCCTGGATTCCTTCCCAGAGGCCACCCGAGATATGTACACAGTCTTATACCTCCCTTGCTTTCAACTGCAAATGGTAGCAAGCTATGACATTATTTTGTTCCTTGCGTAAAACAGGATACCTTGTATATTTTGTATCAGCACATATGCAGCTTCATTCTCTTTAATGGCCACATATTATTCCATTATATAAATATAAATAATAAAACTATTTCCCTACTAAAAAAAATCAGAGATATTGGCCTGTAGTTCTTTTTAGTGGGGGTCTTTGTGGTTTTCACATTATGCATTTTAAAGTTAGAGAATAAAAAAAAACACAAAAGTGTAGTCATCCCCATTTTCTTTTATTTAAAGACTTTATTTATTCATTCATGAGAGACACACAGAGAGAGAGGCAGAGACATAGACAGAAGAAGCAGCAGGCTCCTCGTAGGAAGCCCGATGTAGGACTCAATCCTGGACCTGCGATAACACCCTGAGCTGAAGACATATGTTCAACCACTGAACCACCCAGGTGTCCCTAATTCCCATTTTCTGATTAGTGGTCCCTACCCTTGTCCTTTATTTCTCATTAAAAGTAGGTCCTCAGCTAATCATTTAAAAAAAAAAACCACCATATACTTCAAAGAATAAAAAGCTAAAAATATTATTTTAATAGATTTTTTTTAAAGACCCAAAGAAAACTTATTTCAAAATGCAACAACCCAGATTTAAATTTCTATGGATAGGTCAGATAGCAGGCTGGATAGCAGGCTAGGAAAATGAATAAATAATTGAGAATATAGAAAAGAGACCAAAAACAGCCATGGAAACATGCAAAGAGAGGTTAAGAAATATGGAGTTTACGTAAGATCTAACTAAATATGTTTAATCTGAGACATCAAATCACAGATTCAAAAAGCCAAATGAATTCCAATTATGGAACATTATTAAGATAAATAGGACATCCAAATCTAGACACATAATAGCATAAAAACAAGGAGTAAATCCCCTTTTTTTACCCCCAAGAGTAAAATCTTAAAAATAACCACAGATTGTGCAGGAAAGGGACATGGTGGGGAATAGGTTATGTTCAAAGGAGAAAAAGGTAGACAGCTAATTTTTAAATAGTAATTCTAAAAGACAAAGGGTAGTGGAATGACATTTTCTGTATGATCAAAAAAAAAAAAAAACAAAAACCTAGGACTCTCTAGATGCAGTTAAAATGTACATCAAGAATAAGAGGAAATAAAGACATTTTTAAACAGAGATTGATTACCAGGCCTATCTCACTAATGAAAATTTTAAAACATGTACATAAACAAACAGAAGAAAAATAGTCCCAGATAGAAGTTCTGAGATGCAATAGGGAAAAAAAAATTAAACATGCGGATCACTTTAAATGAACACTGACAATACATTATAAAAATTGCAAAAATGTCAGGACACCTGGGTGGCCCAGTGGTTGAGCATCTTCCTTCAGCTCAGGGTATGATCCCAGGAATTGTGGGATCAAGTCCCACATCCAGCTTTTGGCAGGGAGCCTGCTTCTTCCTCTGCTTATGTCTCTGCCTCCCTCTCTGTGTCCCTCCTGAATGAATAAAATCTTAGGGAAAAAAAGGTTGCAAAAATGTCATGTATTTTTTAGAGATACAAGACAGTTAAAACAAAGCAACAATACACATAAGTTTGGAGACATGTAAGTTGAGTTAAAATATTCAAAATTCCTTGCATCATCATTATCCATGAATAGAGAGGAAAAAAATCCTCACCAAGATATTAGCAGATCATGAGTAACACTGTATTAAACAAATGAAATTACAACTAAATTCAGTTTACCTGAGGAATGCAAGTTTGGTTTAACATGAGCAAATATAATTCACCACACTGACACATTTTTTAAAAATTATCTCAATATATGCAAAATAAACATTATTCAACATTCACTCATGATAAAACAGAAAAAACTAGTATTATAAGGAAACTTTTTCAATATAATTGTAACGTAAAGACCCTAGGTGGCCCCATAATAAATGCCCTTTGGTGTTCTCACCTTTTCTAAGTGTAGGCAAGATCTGTGATTTGATTCTAGCCATTACAACATGGCGAATGTAAAGGAATTTTACAGATATAATTCAGTTAATTTTGAGTTAATCAAAAGGGAATTATTCTAAGTAAGCCTGATTTAATCAGGTGAAATCCTTAAAAGAGGACTGAGGCTTCTGTGCAGTGAAATCCTCCTTTTTAGCTTCATGAAGCAAGCATAGTGAGGAAGCCTACATGGCCAAGAACAAGGAACAGCCTTGCTCTAGACTGAATATTTCTGTACCCCCACTCCCAAACTCATTGCTGTGCCTAAGACTGCAAATCCGAGAAAACCACCAAGGAGCCGACACCGATGTAAGTACATGAGGGTTTATTAACAAGCTCGAGCTTGGGTCCAAGTATACCCAACACAGCAGACCAGGGACTTGGACCCTGAGGTGAGTTACAGCTGGGATTTTATGGGCTGGTCTAGGGGTAAGGTGGGGTTTTTCAGTAAGGATGGGGGTGTGAGAATCTCAAGTAAAGAGGTCTCACAAGCTCTTGCTTCCTTATTCTGATAAGGAATAAGGTGTTTTTTTCCGTAGCCGGGGTAGGGTAGAGTTCAGTTCCTGGTTACAGCGGCCTGAGATGGCTGCTGAAGCTACAATGGCTGTACTTGTGCCCATGTTAAACTTGAATGGCCCTAATTTTCTCGACCTCCACACTCATGACTTAAGTCTTAGTGTTCAATGTGATACTATTTGGAGGTAATTATAAAGTACAAAGTTAACATTCTGGAGGAGAAAACTGAAGATACTACTCCAGCAATCAACATCACCAACAATGGGACAAATGAAAATTGTAGGTCACATGATATGATGCAATAGAAGAGTAGAGGACCAGTTCAGTCGGGCTCTTGCTAAAATATATGATCTGAATTTGATCATAAGGAAATATAAGAAAAACCCACATTGAAAGACATTCTAGGGCAGCCCAGGTGGCTCAGTGGTTTAGCCCTGCCTTTGGCCCAGGGCACGATCCTGGGGACCAAGAATCGAGTCCCACATCAGGTTCCCAGTATGGAGCCTGCTTCTCCCTCTGTCTCTGCCTCTCTTTCTCTCTCTGCATCTCTCATAAATAAATAAAATCTTCCTTGCTATAAAGGATACTACAGACAACTGTCAAAGCTTTAAAAGAATATGAGGTTTAAATGATAGAGGGTATAGTTGATATAGCAATTGCACAACTGGGTATTTATCCCAAAGATACAAATGTAGTGAAATGAAGGGGCACCTGCACCCCAATGTTTATAGTAGTAATGTCCACAATAGCCATTCTGTAGAAGGAGCCAAGATGTCCTTCAACAGAGGAATGGATAAAGAAGATGTGGTATATATACACAATGGAATATTACTTAGCCACCAGAAGGGATGAATACCTACCATTTGCATCAACGTAGATGGAACTGGAGGGTATTATGTGGAGTGAAACAAGTCAATTGGAGAAAGACAATTACTGTATGGTCTCACTCATAGGCGGAATATAAGAAATAGTGCAAGGAGGGGAAACTGAATGGGGAACAATCAGAAAGGAAGACAAACCATGAGAGACTTAAGTCTGGAAAATATATTGAAGGTTGCTCAAGGGGAGGTGAATGGGGGGCTGGGGTAACTCAGTGATGGCATGGAGAAGGGCACGTGACTTGATGAACCCTGGGTGTTATACACAACTGATGAGTTATTGAAAACTTTATCTGAAACCGATGACCCTTGTAAATGTTGGCAAATTGAATTTAAATAAAAAAAAGAATGTATACTTAACATAGTTTGGGTGTACTTATATGCCGATTTTTTAAAAATACAGTACTGTAAATGTATTTTCTCTTCCTTCTGATTGTTAATTTTCTTTTCTCTACCTTACTTTGTAGGGAGAATATAGTATGGAATACATATAACACACAAAACATAGGTTAATTGACTGTTTTGGTACAATAAATATTCTGGTGAACATCAGATTATTAGTAGTTACGTGCCTGGGGGAGTCAAAGGTTCATAGATTTTCACTACAGAGTATCAGTGCCCCTAAGCTCCACAGTATTCAAGGGTCAATTGCATTAGTGTTAATTTTCTGATTGGCAGGGTTGTACGGTAGCTATGTGGAATGTACTGACTTGCAGGATGAAAATGCTACAGGAACTGGGCATAATTTAACAATTTACTTCCAAAGTCCTGGGGGGGGAGTTCTTTTTCTTTATTTTTACTTTTCTCTAATTTTAAGACTTTTCTCTAATTTTCTCTAATTTTAATTTTACTTTTCTCTAATTTTTACTTTTCTTTATTTTTACTTTTCTCTAATTAATTTTACTTTCTCTAATTCTCAAAAGTAAATAAAAAATAAACAGAAAAGGTAAAAAGACTTAGGCAAATCTTATTTCACCATGAGGAAAGAGCTATGAATAAGTATTTAAAATTAAAATTATACACGGGTTTTATGGCACTATAAAAATTGTATTACATGTACCACTGGTAGATAGCCTTAGCAGCAGTAAATCAAAATGATGTCTGTCTAAATCCACAGGTCCAGTAATAGAAACTAAAATACAAAAAAAAGCTATCAGTTAACACCACTGAAATATTGACAACTTGGTAGTTTGGGTGCTGTTTAAAAGGCTGTTACTTGGGCAGACTGAAGCATGCTAGTTTCCACTGCTTAAAAGTTCATCAGACGCCAAGAAACCTAGCTTAAAATAGTATATAAACTTTCATTACACACGATATAGCAAAATTTCCTTTAATAAAGATTTTTTGTACAACAGACATTTACTGGGAAACAATTAAAATGTTTTATTAAACATCTAGGTGATAAACTTTTACTATGTATCTTTCAGATCATATACTTTTTATTCAAAATCTCTCCATATTCTCGTCATGCTTGCAGTACTAGATCTTGATTTACATTTGATTCATCAGTAGGTCCTAAAGGAGAGGATCTACAGAATCCTGATTCTAATTCACGAGCAGCTGAAAAAGAGAAAGAATAATAATAGTCTTTATCTGAAATACTTTATAGTTAACTAGAAGTTAGTAAAAAAAAGTTGGAATCTTCTGAGGGTTAAGAATGAAAAATATCTACATATAACTACAATATAAAATACAAGATTACTATTAAATCAAGTTTGCTCACGATTGCCCATTGAATTAATTACTACTGTGGATCAATACTAGAGCTTCTGGTTTTCTCATTACAAGATAAGACTGCAAGCGATGGCACAGTCCACCCCTGAACAATCATATACTATCAACTGAAAAATCAAACAGGCAATTTCTAGAGTCAAATATACCACGACAGTTTTAAAACAAGACACTCTAAGAACACACAGAAGGGACATCCTGGTTTTCTATCAATATTGTCTGCTTTTCGGTGGAGGGAATACGTAGGCTGATACCTGAAAGATTACTCTTTGCAAAGCAGCAGAGTAGGGTAATAGCGACAGAGAAGGCTCAACAACGTGGCAAGAACCAAATTGATTTGGGTGTTTGTATTCCACGCTAAGGAACCTGGAATTTTACCCAATGGCAAAACCAGTGGCTAGAGACTGAAATGTCACCTGTCAAGGGACAGCTATATGAACTATATAATTGCTTAATTAAGTATTACTAAGACAAGTCTGGTCTTTTTGGTCTTCTACCACTAGCAGAAACAAGAATTTGAGAACGCCCACATTTTCAGATTGACAGCTGAATAGCGATGGCACAAGTGAAAAGTGATAACAGGCGCACAGACAGCAGATTTTTAAAAAAGGTATGAAACACGATGACCAAATGAGGAATAAGTCTGTTATTCATTATGTTTATATTTTACATTTTTATTAGATATATCTAGACAAAATTTTAACAAGGGGAAGGGATGCCAGTTACTATTTGTGGTTTATTTCGGAAATTAATGACCATCTAAATTCATACATTTGGCAACATACCTTCTTTTAGTTCTCTAGTTATATTTTCTTCCAGCTCCTGCATCTGAAATAAATCAAATGTTACTTACAATGTTCAAGTTAAACAAGAGACATTATTGTAGGAATTTTATTTTGCTTATGAAACATGGTCTGAAAATGATACTTTTAGAGAGTAAAAGTTACGGATTGCTTAAATAGAAAGATAATCACATAAATAAATCCCTACTTAATCTGGATAACTGAGAAGAAACCTATATTGCTGTTCAGAGGAGTCTAATAAAAAGTACAATTAATATTGATCGATTGAATATACAGAATTTCTGGAAGAAGAGGACGATGGTGGAGGAGTAGGAAGTTTTGTCTGGTGTCTGGAATTCAGCTACATAGCTATCAAATCATCTGAACACCTGTGAACTCAGACAGAGAGCCAAGAAAAGAATTGCTGCAATTCTACAAATAGAACAGTGACCACTTTCTGCAAGGTAGGAGTTGTGGAGAAATGAATCCCAGGCATATGTCAGAAGATAAACCATGGGGGCAGGGAGCCTCTGGAAGCCAGAAGGCAAGTCCTGGAAAGTGATATAGCAGCAGAGTGCACAACCAGAACTTTTAAGAAGTCTGTTCCAGTGAGGACATCCCTGTCTGAAAGGTGCTCAGGTGGCAACGGGGGCAGCATCCTAGGTGGGATGGACAGTGTGGTCTCAGGATCCCTGGGGGCCACAGAAAGATTGGGGGCGCCTGAGTATGGCAGTTGCCAAGGCATTTGAGCAGGGAAACCAGTTGCAATCAGTGAGCCCAGGAGTGGGCATTCAGCTCCGTGTTGCCATAAACCCCAAACCGAGGATCAGTCAGGTGACCACTCTCCAAGCAGGGGTCCAGCAAGTGGCAAAACTGGGCAAGACCTCCTCCTTCCCCCTGGAGGCACAGCGTGAATGGGGGCTACAGGGGTCCGCAAAGTTTGGAAAACCGAAAGGGGGTCGTGTGCTTGAGATAAAAATGCTTGGTCACAGGCTGGGTGAATACAGAGTGCAGACAGAAACCAGGGAGACGCAGTAGGGAGTGAGATCTTTCAATTCCAGGGCTGGAGATTAGGAGGCCATCATTTCCATTCTCATCCTCTAAAGCTGCCCAGAAAGCCATCAGGGAACAAAAGCCACAGAGAGCAATCTGGAGCTGCTTACCTGGCCTGGCCCCCTGGCAAGGGTGGTGCAATCCCACCCTAAGCAAAGACACCTAAGAATCATCCCAACAGGCCTCTCCCCAGGAGGTCAGCAACAACATCCAGCTGAGACCAACTTTACTCATCACAGAGAGCTGCAGAACTCCAGTGCTAGGGGCAAACAGTATATAGAATTCATGGCTATTTCTCATGACTCCTTAGTCTTTCTATTTTAATTTTCTTTTTCCTTTTCAACCAGTTTCATCGCTTATCAACTCTTTTACAATTTACCTTTTTACACTTACATTCAATCCTTTTACTGCATTTAGTAGTATTCTTGTATATACGGAAGTTTTTCTCTCTGTACCATTTCGGGAAGTGGTTCCTTCTAAGAAATAGACTAAAATACAACCAGAATCTACTATACTGCTCTATTCTCTTCATCTGATTATATTATTTTTAAAATCTATCTTAATTTTCATATTTACAGTTAAATTCTATCCTTTCATTGCATTTAATTTTATTTTTGCATGTAATGAAGCTTTTCATTCTTTCCAATTTTGGGATGTAATTTCTTATAACAAAGAGACCAAAATATACATAGGATATGGTCTATTGCTCGGTTCTGTTCAACTGCCTGATAATATCCTTTTTGTATTTTGACTTTTAATTTCCATTTTTACACTTACATTCTAGCCTTTCGTTGTATTTAATCTTAATTTGTGTATATACAAGGTTTCCTCTTAACCATTTGGGGATGCAATTTCCTATCAAACAGACCAAAATACACATAGGATCCAGTGTACTGCTCTGCTCAGCTCTCTAATTCTATTATCACCTTTTTAAATCTTTTTATTGGTTTCGGGTCTCTTCTGATTTGTTTAGCATATATTTCTCTGGGGTCATTCTCGATATTTTTCTATTCTGTTCTCTCACTCATCTCTTCTTCTCTGGACAGAATGACAAGATGGAAAAACTCACCGCCACAAAGAGAACGAGAGGTAGTGCTGACTGTCCGGAACCTAATCAGCATGGATAATAAGTAAGAGGCTGGAGCGAGAGTTCAGAATAATGACCATCAAGATAATAGCTGGGCTTAAAAAACACACAGAGGACACTAGAGAATGCCTTTCTGGAGAAACAAAACAACTGATATCTAATCAAGTTGAGCTAAAAAAGGCTAATCTTAGTGAGATGCAATAAAAAATGAAGGTTCTAACTGCTAGGATAAATGGGGCATAACAGAGAAATAGTGATATAGAAGACAAAACGATGGAGAATAAAGAAGCTGAGGAAAGGCGAGAGAAACAACCACTGGACTATGACAGGAGGATTTGAGAGATGAGTCGTACCACACAGCAAAACAATGTTAGAATAATGGGGATCCCAGAGGAAGAGGGGAAGGAGGGAGCAGAAGGCATATTTGAGCAAATTATAGCAGAGATCTTCCCTCATCTGGGGAAAGATACAGGCACTCAAGTGCCAGGAGGCACAGAGAACCTTCCTCAAAATCAATAAAAAAAACAGGTCAATATCTCAACATATAATAGCAATGCTTGCAAATTTCAGACACAAAGAGAAAATCCTAAAGCAGCTTGGAACAAGAAGCCCTGAACCAAGAAGGGGAGAAATACTCGACTGGCAGCAGATCTATCCAAAGAGACCTAGCAGGCCAGAGAGAGCTGGCATGATATACTCAGGGTGCTCAATGAGAAAATCTACAGCCAAGAATTTTATCCAGCAAGGACCTCATTCAAAATAGAAGGGGAGATAAAAAGCTTCCAGGACAAACAGAAACTAAAAGAATTTGTGATCACTAAACCAGCCCTGCAGGAAGTGGTAAAGGGGAACCTTTAAGCAAACAGAGAGCCCAAAAGTAACACAGACCAGAAAGGAACAGACACAGTACACCCAAACAAGGACTTTACACGTGATACAATGGCACTACATTCATATCTTTCAATCGTTACTCTGAATGTAAACAAGCCAAATGCCCCAATCAAAACACACAGGGTATCACAGTGGATTACAAAAAAAAAAAAAAAAAAAAGGCAAGATCCATCGATATGCTATCTGCAAGAGACTCATTTTAGACACAAAGACAACTCTAGATTGAAGGTTCCTCAAAGAGTTGAAAAAGGAGCTACCTATGTAAAACCCAGCAATTGTGCTAGAAGGTATGAATCCCAAAGATCATTTTGGTCGGCATCCAAAGGGGCACCTGCACCCGTATGTTTATAGCAGTAATATCCTCAATAGCCAAACTAGGAGATCCAATGTTCTTTGAAAGAGGTATGTATAAAGAAGATGTGATATAGATATAAATAATCATATTTATTTATTAGATAGAGAGCGAGGGAGGGGGAGAGAGAACAGAATATTACTCAGCCAATAAACAATGAAATCTTGGGACCTCTGGGTGGCTCAGTGGCTGAGAGTTGGCCTTTGGCTCAGGGCATGATCCCGGGATCGAGTTTCACATCGGGCTCTCTGCAGTGAGCCTGCTTCTCCTCCCTCTTGCCTAGGTCTCTGCCTCTCTATCTCTCACTGTGTGTGTGTGTGTGTGTGTGTGTGTGTGTGTGTGTTGTGTGCCCCTCATGAAAAATAAATAATATTTATAAAAAAGAAAAATGAAATCTGCCATTTGCAATGATGTGATGGAACGAGAGGGGATAATGTTAAGCAAAATATGTCAATTGGAGAAAGAAAATTATCATATGATTTCACTCATATGTGGAATTTAAGAAACAAAACAGAGTAGCATAGGGGAAGGGAAGGAAAAGTAAAACAAGACGGAATCAGAAAGGGACACAAACCATAAGTCACTCAATACTAGAAAACAAACTGTGGGTTGCTGGAGGGAAAGGGATTGTGGGGGATGGGGTAACTGGCTGATGGGGATTAAGGAGGGCATGTGATGGCATGAGCACTGGGTGTTACATAAGAGTGATGAATCACTGAACTCGACCTCTGAAACTAATATTACACTATAAGTTAATTAATTTGAATTTCAAGTAAATAATATAAATAAAAAGAAATACATGCAAAACCAAGGTAACTTTTGATGTTGTTACATAATGACACAGATACGTTTTTAGAGATTAGGATATCTGCTCTAAGAAAAGAACACTATTAAAAGGAAAGATTACCTAAGAACAAAGATATCTTGCAGACATAATTCAAGGTGGACAATGAAAAGCGCAGTTGACAACATATGTCAAAGGCATTGTTGTTATTATTTAAGGAATCACTGAAGAGTAAATGTAGTATTTTGGCAAGAGTTTCTATTTAGGTTTTTATAAAGTACAATTACAGGTAAATTATTAATTAATGGTTAAAGTGATGTGAAATATTAGTCTTACCCAGTATTCTCTTTTTCTAATTCCTCATTTTTCTTCACTTCTTGATCCAACCTGAACTGCAAAGACTGTGTCAACTCCATACATTTCTTTAGGTTTTCCTTTTCATCACCACACTTTGGAAACAATTTTTTAAGAACATTAGTTTCAAAAATCGAAAGACTCCTTCTTCTTTTATAAAATGCTATTTCTCATGAATCCATGAGTAATATGTGTTTAGACAGGTTTATAAAATACATATAAAATGTAGATTATGAGCCAAATGTCAATGACAAGAAATCTCAAAAATAAGGATGTTTGTTAAAACAGCTTCAACTGAGTTTATATTTTCATCATTTTTGTTTCTAGAATTTAAATTGCCAAAATTTACTTGGGAAATACAGAGGGTTTTAATCCACATTAATACAAGCATTAATGAAAAAAATCTTTCAAGTGGCTATACTTACATTTGAGTTTCTAGAGATGTCCTAGAAGCAGTTTCACCAACATCTTAAGATACTCGGGGTTTTGTGAGATCACACCTTATTAAGATAGTCTCTGAAAAATTCCCATACTGTCCCCATTATAATTTTGATGATCATCTGACTTTAGGATGAGATACTCTCCTTCTCTGCAAAATTTCAATTTCTTCCTTTTCTATTTAAATAAAATTTAAGCCTCCCAATATTCTATAAAAACGTTTCCTTACTCTTGCAGCATTTTCGATCATCTTGCTTTTCCCCTTTCACTGGACTCGAACATTCTTTAATGTGTCATCTCAGCCACAGATTCATCGTTTCATCGCTTCTTTTACACTAAAATCTGACTTTCAATCCTGGAATTCCACTAAAAAATTTTGACGATCATCAAGGATCTTTTTTTTTTTTTTTTTACAAGTCCTGATCCTGCTTTACTTCTCAGCAGCAGCTGAAAACAATGACCACATCTTCCCTCTGCTCTTCTAATCCCATTTCTAAATGACAGCAAATGCTGACATTCAGTCCTTGGACCCTTGCTATTCCTCTTTTTCACATCCTCTCAGAGTTCTCCAAATCCCAAGGCTTCAAAACCAGATGCTCTACTCTACATTTTCAGCCTTGACCCATTTACTGAGGTCATGTATATGCTTCCATCTTCCTTCTAGTTCCTCACAGACAATATTTTCAACCACACATTCAGTACCTGCTACCTGACGTGCATTACCTTTCTAGTTAGCTAATCTGTTATTTTTATATTTTTTAATTTATGTATTTGAGAGAGAGAGCACAAATGGGGAGAGGAGCAGAGACAGAGGGAGAAGCAGACTCCCTGCTGCGGAGGGAGCCTGATGCAGGAGTCGATTCTGGGACCCTGAGATGATGACCTGAGGCGAAGGTAGATGTTTAACCCACTAAGCCACACAGGCACCTCACACAGCTAATCTTGTACATTTTATCTTGACTCTTTTTGGTATTACTTTGAGTGTATTATTTTTTAAAGATTTTATTTATTCATTTATTTATTCATGAGAGGTACAGAGGGAGAGGGTGGGGGGGGGGAGAGGCAGAGAGAGAGAGAGAGAGAGAGAGAGAGAGAGAGAGAGAGGCAAAGCGACAGGTAGAGGGAGAAGCAGGCTCCATGCAGGGAGCCTCATGGAGGATTCAATCCCAGGACTCCAGGATCATGCCCTGAGCTGAAGGCAGACGCTTAATGCAAGAGCCACCCGGGCGTCCCGAGTGTATTATTTTTTAATCTCGGGGGTGGGGGGACACCCTTACCCTCAGGATGCTGACCACTGTACTTTGTCTTTCTTTTATAATGCAAAAGTTCTTCCCAAGGGTTGGATTATGGATGGTTTGCCTTTGTTTCCTTTTGAGTACTTTCCTATTCCATAGAGATGTGAACTTACGGAAGTCTTCTTCTAAGTCCGTTTCAGACACACACTTGACTATTTTGTTCAGAGGCTTAAGTCAGCTAGAGCTAACTCTCCTTCCCAATCCAGATTTCTTCACCTCAAAATGGTGTCCATGAAATATCTTAACACAGACGTAGTCTCTGTCCTGGGGATTCATGAGGTGAGAACCTTCTAGAGAAATTAGGGCTATGAACTAAGTTGCTGGAAAGCTATTTAAGTTTTTATGTTATAGGGTAAGCTTAAAGTGGCTAATAATTTTATACCATAACCCTAATTCATTTCTGGAGAAATCTACAGAATATCTATGGATATTCTTACAAACTCTGTAATATGTGATGGCTTCCCTAATAGATTCCTGTGTGATATTGTAGGGGGACAACTCATGGCACTCTCAGTCAGCGATAAGACTCCTTATCAACATGTTGTCAAGTTAACTGCATGAAAAGTACAGTAAAACAACTTGAGCAGTTTTATATGAAGTCAGGAAAAAAAGTTTTTTTCGATGTTTCTTTGGCCACAGAAAGGACCAGTCAACAGAATGTGCTAGTTCCCCCGATAGGTATGATCGTTTAATGAAATTTGCATGTACCTAACTTTTGTC